CTACCATAAGTCACATCTGTGAGTGCGAGTGGATACAGGACAAGCAAAACTCCTAAATTAGTATTATCTTGAAAAGAGAACTGTTAGAATAGAATTCATCAAATAGCCAACAAAGACCTCTCCTTCCTCCTCCTCTTCAACAAACATAACAACACCTGGGACAGTATCTTTTTGAAGGATTTTGATACTCCTATTCTCTCATTGTATATTGACATATTATTCGAACACAACCACCTCTTTTAAAATTTTTTCTTTGGGATATCATGTCTTGCTTGAACATGTGAATTAGAGAGAATTTAGAAGTATTGATGAATCTTCTTTTCCAGTACGTGAATTAGATTGATCCAAGTTATTCTCTCTGACAACAAGCCATCTTGTGGATTGGAGTGGTTAGATTTTTACAACATAGAGATACTGAAAGTAGTTAAGGAACAGGCAATATATTCTCAACCGACGAAGCCCTCGAAGAGTAACCAGCTTATGGAATCAAAGTGGTAGTAGTAGCATAAGATCTTAACTACTTGTAAACAACTCTAGGAATGTTTTATTAGTTATTATTTTTTATATTTGCAATTTTGCCCTGACTTGAAAGTTTAATAAAACAAAACTGAGTTGCCATTTCAAAAAAAAAAATAATAATAATAATAAAACTTCTATCAAAAATTATTTACTTATATTATTATTATTGATTAAAATCTATTTAAAGCTTATTTTTAATTTATTATTTCTTATTTATTTTTTGAAAAAACTATTAATATAAAAAATAAATTATTTACTTATTTTAATTTTATTATATTTTAATATATCTATATATTTTTTTTTATATTTTTTTGATTGAATAACTTGTTTAATTAAATCTATTTTTTAGTTTTTTATTTATATTTCTATTTTGGTAGATTTGATAATAGATAAAATTATTACTTAAAGACTTATAAAAGTTTATTAATTAATAAAATTATTAAGTTATTAAGAAAAAAATTTTTTTTAAACTTTTCTATTTATTTAACTAAGGGGATGGATAAACTTGTATTGATAATATCTCAAAAAATCAAATAATTATATTTGAATAAAAAAGTATAGTTATTAGTAAGTTCATATAAAAGTTAATATAATACTATTTAGAAATTTGATCTTTTTTAACTTATTATTTAAAATATTTGAATTAATTCTTTAATATATTTTTTATGTATCAAGATTTAATAAAATTATTTTGATTTATAGATTATAAGTTATTAAATCTATTTTTTTTAATAACTTTTATAAAAGATTATAATTTTTATTATTTTATTGAAAACTGATTATATTAAAAAGAAATTAATTTTTATATCTACTATAAAGAGTTTAAATTATTTTTCAATTTTCAAATATTATTATAATAATATTAATAAACTAATCTATAGATTTTGTTTTTATTTTCTTAATAGTTAAAGATATTTTTTATTATTAGTTTTAAAATATAATATATTTTTTTATTAATATTAATATTATAATTGCAAAAGTTTTTTTAAATAAAATAAAATAATAAGATAGTAAATTTCTTATTTTTTAATTTATTTAAATTATTAAAAATCAAAATTTTTAAACAAAAAAAATTATTTTTAAAAGAAAAAATTTAAGTATTTTTTTAAATTATTTAAAAGATTTTTTTTAAATTTGTAATTATATTATATAAATTAATTCTTATTGAGAAATTTATATAATTATTTATAATATTTAGATTTTTTACATAATAATTAACTTGTTATTGTATTAAAGTATTTTAAGTCAAATATATCTCTAAAGAATTGATATAAATTTTTACTTTTTAGGTTTATTATCATAGTTTGTTATTATAGATTGCTCAAAAATCATGAATTACTAAGTTAATAAAAGAAAAGAAAGGAATATAATTTAAGTTTTTTCAAAAAAGTCTATCAACTGAACAATCCTTTTTAAAAAGAGTTTGTCTAATTATAATATTCTTTTTGTTTTTACTTAAAACTTAAAAGAGATTTTCTTTATTATTACCTATAATATTGGATAAGTTAATCTAATCAAATTTATTATTTAAGCAAGTATTGAATTGAAACAACTAAAAAAAAACTTAAAAATTTTATTTTTTAGTCAAAAAAGTCTTTTTATTATCTGAAGAACTTAAGAAAGATGTGATTTTGCAATTTATATTATTTATTATTTACTTTTTAATATCTTGAATATTTTTTTAAAGATATGTAACTTTTGAAAAAAAATAATTTCTAAAACTTTCTTTTCAATTATTACTGATATCATTGAAATATGTGAATTGATCAATAGAAGCTTGTTTAAATTTCATAAACTAACATATTTTATATTAGCCAATTACTTTTGATAAATATTTATATTATTCAAAATTTAAAATCAAACTTAAGTAGATAAATTCTCTTTAAAAAATGTGAAAATGAAAGCTCTAAGAAAATTAAGAAATTAGAAAGAAAAAAAAACAAGCCTTTTTATTGCAACAGAACTTCTATAACCTTTTGTTTCAAAGATTGAAAAATATTAGATACTTTGCAATTGGGGATTTTTTTTTGTTATTAGTATTAAAGGTGTTACTTGATTTTTTTTGATTATCAGAAGTTAAGTTTTTAAGTGAAGTGGTTTATAAACAAGAGAGAAAAGGTAGAAATAACTCTTGAAGTCATATTTCAAGTTATTTTAATGAAAGTTTCAAGACTTTATTAGCAAAAAAAAATAAAAAAAACTTTCTGTAAACATCTTTTTTGTGTGTGATCAGAGGATCAGTAAAAAGAGTTAATTGTTTAAAAGATAATATAAAAACTTTTATTGATATAAAATTAAAAGTTATTATTTCTAAAAATATAGTTAAATTATTTTTCAATCAAGATTTTTTTAACTTAAATTTTGATATGCTTTTATATTTTAAAACTATTTTTATTTCATAATTTATTGATACAATAGCTAAAACATATCTAAAAGAATCAAAGTTTTTTATTCTATGTTAACATTGATATTCTCATATAATAAAAAATGAGTGAATTAAATTGAGTCTCTTGTAATGTTCTATTATAAAAAAATTTTAAAGCCCCTAGATGATGTTAACAATCTAAAACAGCCGAACCAGCTGTCTTAGCTATATAGTAATAGTGAATATAACTGCCTCCAAAAACATAGCGTACAATTAACTATTTTTATTTCGCATTTATCGCCCGATCCGTGGAATGTCTAAGGGTCGCGGGTAAGAGTTAAAGCAAGGATTAGTACCTTTGACTTTATTTAGATGGCCAATATCCAACCTTACTTCGATTACTTATGTTCAAAAATCTGTGGCTACCACTACAATGTGTTTAGCCTCAACCATAATCTGACTATTGAATTGCCACCAGTAGCAAGCCAGCCGGACGATAAACAAAACAAACGCGATGAAAGGCTCTGAATTATTTTCTTAGCCTCATTTAATCCAAACAATTATTTTCACGTAAAATATTTCTTGCCAACAACATTGATTCCAAAATGATACCGCTCAAAAATGCTCACGATGTTCTTTAAAATTATCGTAAACTTATTCCTTATTCCGGTTGAGTTTGCAATTTACTTTATTCCTATTTTGTTCCTCTGTCTTTTCCCCAACATCATAATTACTATTTTTGGTTTGGTACCTAACTATTATGTTTACGTAATAACAACAAAAAGATTTTACAATAATGTAAAACATCTTTTGATCGTCTTCTCGCCTGTGATCATTGTGTTATATTTGATTGCGGCGGTCTTGATTTATGCAAGTTATAGTTTATTCCTCACACTATTCCTTCCCGTGATGACATACTTTTCTCGGCAAGAACTACCTTATTATTCCACTTCTCCGTTGATATCGCTCATTTGTTTGCCCTACCAATGTTGCCGTTGTGAAAATCTCGGATATGGAATTCTTGACGATCTCCCGTTATTCAGGCCGTTCGTTGATACATTTGAATTTCACAAAATGGTCGTGAATTTTCATTTTCAAAAATCCGCAAATCTTATAGAAGACGATAAAAGATTTGAAGGAAACAAGATTTCTTTGAACTACTGGAGAGTGTGTTATCCATTCTTTGTGTTTCCATTATGTATTTTGCTTCTTCTTATACCTTGCACTCTATATAGCATTTTATTGATTTTTCCTATAACAATTACACACTTTATTAACTTATATTCGAAAAGCACGAGAAATTCAAATGGCAATGTTGATATTATCATCAATATCATGTTATTTCCGATTTACTTTCCCAACTTGATGGCCATTTCTTTATTACGATCTATTCTAGTTTTACTTTTTTTCTTGGTTGTGATCCTAATCTGCTCCATTTCGATTGCCATCTTATCGGTGAACCACTCCTTGTATTATTCCTACCAAGCGGGATCATCGATTCTGATGTTAATCCCAGATGATGTCTACGAAAACGCCAGCGATCTTTTCGGCTTTCTCAAATGGTGTCGTAAACTATGTAACGAATTAAGGGTCAACGAGAATGTTTGAATTTATGTAGCACATTTCTCTGAATCCGCAAACACAAATAAAGTTAAAAATTTGGAAAGCGAACACAATGATAACGTGTGGTGGTGTTATTATGCTTTTTGGATTTTTGTGTATTCTTATGCATATACAGTAAAACAACTTTCATTAAATAAGCCAAAAAATAGTTATTGAAAATTATAATAATCTTTATTCGTAACACTTGATGCAAAAAATTCTAAAGCTATCTATCAGAAATGTTATCATCGAATAGTTTTAATTCAATTTTAAAAAATTATAATCGTATACTGTGTAAATTCCAATTAAGTTTCCCAATTGCGTATCAACTTTATTTTTATTCTATTTTATCTTTTGAAAAGGTATCATCTTGTTCTTTTTGCTTTCACATAGAGACATCTTTATAACAACAAGTCATTTATTTTTGTTGTATTAAAATACCAAATGCAAATGGAGTTTTTTAAATTTAATGCTAATTTCAAATTATCCGTGTAACCTAAATCCTTATCGGGATTCAACTAATGTATCCATCAAATGAGTGAATAAACAGTGATCGTTCCTCCACCATGGCTCTTGTCTTTCGTTCTTTAGAATTATCATTTCCCAAAATTTGGAACACTTCATATTCTTCAGCCACAAAATTTGAATGTTCTTGTAATATCTCATTTTTATAGGAAACCTTTTTACAATTCCAACAACTGTCTACCATGTGTAAATCACTTTGGCCAAAACATGGACCGAAGCTATTGGAGAAATAGATGGCCTCGTCCGTAAGGTGCTCATCAATTCGGGAGAGTCGTGCTGTTGTGGGGTTACGTGAATCGTTAAAAGAAAATATGAAACTGTCTTGAGTGCATCCAAATTTGTTAAAAGATCGACCCTTTATCTCGTTTCCGTGACCCCCACGAGCCATGTCCTCCGAACAATTCCATTGAATTGGATTATATCCACCCAAAACTTCATTTATTCCTCTGACTTTCACCACGACCAACGTCCGAACTGTATAATCGCACCTACTATGGAACGCTTCAGCCGAGAATCCATCTCTGCTCCCTCTTATCAACAGCTTAAACTTGTAGGGGTTCTTCCTTTGAAAGTCTAATTTTCCATCCATTCTATCAATCCAGTTTGATATCAATGTTGCATGACGACTGTCAATTATAGTTGATTCAATAGGTTCCGAAGTGATGTTCCTGGGCAGAAGCACATTATGCATCCTGCTATCGGGATCCAAATGATATTGAAGTATTTGTTCCTCCAGTTCGACGGGCAATAATTTTCGGTAAGGATTTCTCACTTTGTGAAAAAAGTCACCGGAAGTAATGTTGACGAAGCGAATCAACGGGATGCATCGACGGAGCGTGAATTCTAAAGCTTCAAAATCCTGATTGGACCATCTCTTCACATCTTCGTGTAACTTTATTTGCATGGTGTTAGCAATTCCCCATCTTATCACATGCTCCCAGATCTTTATTTCATCCCAGAGCAAGTCGTCGCGCTTCAGGAGATAGAGTAATATGGATTCTTCCAAGCTTGCAAAATCCTTGGATTCAAATATGTCTTGTGGATGAGAGCACACGAATTTCAATGTGTAGTCACGAAGTTTTTCGAATGCTCCGTGGTGACACACAATGTGGAGGATTGGCACCAGGGTTTGCTTTATCCATTCTTGTTGATGTCTGATCAAGTGATCCTGAGCGTATATGATTAGGCTTGGAAGCTGAAGTTCTTCGCTCGCAAGCATCAATCGTAATAAGTCGGCACCATCAAGTTTTTCCAATTCAACGATGCCACTATACATGTACCTACACGTCGTGTCAATGTTTTGGTTCAAGGAAAATAAGATTAAGATTGCATAAATTATCATTAATGCAGTGTAACAAAAAAAAACAAACCAAACCAAAACAAAACAACGTTGTAAACTTCGTGTGTATCCACGGATATACAACAAAATTTGATTTCTACATTCACTAATAAATATGATTAAAACGGCGATAGAAGTCGCGTACCTTAATATGACCTCGAAGATTTCCGAAGGTATGTTTGGTTTTTTGAACACAATAGGATCTTCATATTTTCGCGTCGACTCACTGATCAACGCGGATCTAAAATAGCCGGAACGAGCACGCAAGAGTATGGAATGGGCCTTGAATTCTTTATAATTTGACATACCACCAGCGCGTATTACAACATTGTAATCCTCTGATTTTTCCAATAGCCCAAGTAAGTCACTTGACAATTCTTGTAAATATTTTGCGGACGACATATTGCGAATAAATTAACCAAAATGCGAGTCTAAATTAAATCCTTTTCAAATAAATATTTGAAGAATTTCGGGAAAGGGTAATAATAAAAAAGAATTTGAAGAGGACGAAAAAAATTCACAAACACAAAAAGATGGAAAAATAGTTTCCTCCAAGAGAATCATGCACTATATAAACTGCAACACTTGCGTGCATGTTAGGGAACACACATTTTGGGCGGTTCCGGGTTTCGCCTACATACGTACTTTGCAGCATACCGTATTATTGATTGAACACATAACAATATCACACTATTTCGTACGATAAGGCACAGGCGAACACAGATACAAAAACGAATGAAAATATAAGGACGATGAAATTAAAAGTTTTTTGTTTTCATATGTCAAATGTAAGTGGTAGATCTGTTCGCGAAAATCGAATCGCCTACCTTAAGTATTGGTTGAGGTTTCGCGATGAGAAGATTCAATTTTATGTGGAGATGGGAATCATGCATGTACGTATGTATATGCTTCGATCAATGCATGACATTTGCATGCATATATCAAGGATTTCTTTGGTCATAATTTATAGTCAATTAAAAGATAACCCTGTGAATAGCGAAAACCACCTTGAGACAGTGTTCCTGATGCTATTGATAAATGCTTATGCGAGATGCTTAAATTACCTATATTACAAACAGTTGTAGTTTTTAAGCTAAGGAATGGTGGAATCAATAAATAGACTCGAAATAAAAGCGAATATCTAGACAAATGTAAAGCAAAAAGCAAATATAACCTTTAATATTCTCGAATATGTATGCGCTTCCACATACGTGTACAGTAGATATATTTGTACACTTTACCTCTCACATTATTCTCGCTTCATTTTAATCTAATCTTTATAATCATTCTCATTATTCTAGCACAGCACAATGGCGTACCATTTTCAAGCAGACTTACGATTTTGACCCTATTGAGAAACCCCACGATATGCCTGATGCGAGGCGTAATTTTAGTAACTGTAACAACGTTCGTTTAGGCGCTGCATTCGTATAATTCATTGCTGCCTAGAAATGTCGACAAAACATTTTGAGAGAATACTCTTATTTGGAGATTATTGGATTCATGAATCAACCCCTTCTTCGTCAAGAATGAGCACGGGCTCCAAGTCGCCTTAAGGTTGCGTCACGCATGATTGATCCAAGTGTGTCAGTACATTAAATACACTATTGCCAAGCAGCTTTCCATGAACTTTTCGGCAAAAAAAATTTACCATTTAAAAAATTTTATTCAATAAGAAGGATTTTTTTGCACAGAAAACACATCTAAAATTTACTTGTTCCTTGAGATCAATAAGTTACATAAATTTTATTTATTGGACCCATATCAATCCCTACTCTCGATAATTAAGAACGCTACTCTGTGGTGACTCATAGGACTCTCTCGTTTCAAATTCAAGATTACTTACTATTTTTATCATTTCCACAATGAGAAACTTCATACTAGTTGTGGAAATAACCGGCATTCGTATTTTCATTACCAAGATTCGTCCGACGGCGTGTAGTAAGTTCAAGAATGATTCTTTTGTTTTCGCGAAAATCTGGAAGGCTGATTTCTTGGAAATGGTCGTGTGACTTCATTATCTTGCTTCGGTTTTGGCAATGGTCGCATGAATTCCTCGAAAGCTTGAAAATCTTCACGTTTCTCATAAGAACGATGAGAATGGTTCGACAATGAACCATTTGCAGAAGAGTTAGCATAATCTGAAGATGCATTAGAGTGTTTTCTAAATTTGAAGTTTGATTGTACTAAAGGTAAATTCGTGGAAGCTTGTGAAGCGTCACTCCTAAATTTCTGCTGGTTTGTGGATGCTTGTGAAACATTCTCTCTGAAAACAGGTTGGCTTGTGGACGCTCGTGAGGTATTTTCACCGAAAAGCGATTGCGATTGCCCATTTTCTTCATAGGAATGGTATCCTTTTTCCGGCTTCTGTTCGCTAAGAGTATAAGTTTCCAGAAGTTCCACATAAAATTTATCATCCAGAATTTTCCTAATCGGTGCAACCCTCTTCATGAAATCCGCCGAACTAATTTTCTTAAAATCAATAAATGCTATGAAAGGTTCGATCAACTGCTTGATGAAATAATAGTCGTCTTCGCTAAATTTAAGGATCTTGGGATTAAGATTTAACTGGATGGCTCCCCACTCTACTAATCTGTTCCATAAAAGGATATTTGGAATAGCGTTGATTTTTTGTGCAGCGGTGTCTGATAAATAGATGTCTAATAATGTAGCTTCGTCTGTCGAAAAATCGATGTCATTCAGAAGAACTTTATCTGGCGTCGGATGCGACGCTGTGTTTGAAAAAATTTCAAAAAACTGTGAAAGTTCTCTTTGGCTAATTTTAAGAAATTGCGTTGAATTAATGATTTGGATAGGATTTTGAATTAAGATTTTATTGCACAATTCAACTAGCTTAAGAAATTTCCTGGAGTATCTGGAGATAAATTTATTGAGAAAAAAATAATTATTAATTACAAGTTCCTGGTGGTTATTCAAATATTCATGAGCGTATTCTACAAATTCCAATAAGACTAAATGTTCTGCCTCCACCATTAGAAGGATTATATCTTCTAGGGAATATTTGTCGAGATCAATGGTACCAGCATAAATGTATCTGATAAATATGAAAAATTCGATTAAAAATGCGTGTCAGAGAACTATTGGAGAGCTAGAGTTCGCCGCACCTGAGCAACGTCTCAAACAATTCTGCAGAAATATTTGAAACACTGATGGGAATTATATTTCTAAAACTATCTTTGTCGGCGTTTGTCAGTCTCTCGCGGAAGTATTGGGAACGAGCCCATAAGACCACCGAATGGGCCTGAAAAAATGTTTGTGGTTCTTCGTTACCAACTTGAATAATAACATCGTAAAGCTTCTTGTCATGATCGAGAAGTGAAGAGTAGTCTTTAGATAGAGGACTCAATAATTTCATTTCAGCGTAATGTACGTAGATTTTTTTTTTTACCCTGGAATTTTGACCATATTTGACGTGATACAAGAAGTGGCAGGGAAAATTGTCACGTACTTCCTGGACTAGAGTTTCCGATCACATGAAGATCGCTACTTAAAGGGCCTAACTAATATCCGTGAACAATATACAGTATTTTTTGAGTATCCGTAGCCAGGCTAGATTGTTAGTTTATTAATCAATTGAAAACATAGGTATATTTTCATTCAGCAGCATGATACATACTACAGCTAAACTATTATTCTAATCTAACTAACTCATTGTAAGCATAAGAGCCTCTAAGTTTGGCCTTGGGAACAATATTTCGTTCCACAGTATTTTTAGATGAAAACCTTCCTAGTTCACTGCATTATTGCTAGCAGCAGAGATTTTTTATCAAAAATAAATGATATGGAGGTGTCACTCATGCATCATCCTTATGGCACTTGTATGTTACTTATGCAGCATTACATTTAAATGAAATTTCTGGATCATAAGAAAAAATGTAAAATGTGAAATTATCAAAATTGCCATGAACTGTATTAATGTTTTATGGAACTAAAATTAGTTAAATATAATATAAATTAAGATAATGTATATATAAATATAAACTATTAGCCTGACAGAGGGTAAAAATATATATATATATATATAAATATAAATTATTTATTAAAAAAATTTTTTTAATTAAATATTAAATCACAATTTTTGGAACTTTGATTTTTGATTTATAGCCTATATGTTGGAAATAAGATCTAAAAAACTATATAAACAGTATAAATTATTATAGTACAAAAATTTCATTTGAAATTAGTATTATAGGAATAATGCACAAGTACTATAGGGATAATGTATGAATGATGCAAGAAGAACACTTTCATATCATTTATTTTTAATAAAAAATCTTTGTTATTACTAACAGGTTGTCACCACTGTATATCTAACCAAGCTGCTAGAATAGAAAACTATAAAAAGATAGATTAAAAAAAGGAAAAGGTGATATCTATAAATGTTTAAATAGACAATAAGAAAATGAAAAGGTAAAAATTGAAAAAAAAAAAGATTTCTAGTTTCCTTTAAAAACTTGCTTCTCAAGATCTTTTTTTAATAAAAAACACCTGATTGAAATATTCTTTCTTTTTCTAATCATCTAAGGAACTTATTCATTCTTGATCATGATTTCCTTCTCATATACCATCTGAGAAGATTTATTATCTAGTAGGAGCCTTTACTTCCAGAATACACTTGGTTCCAACCTTTTTTGGACAGTGATTTTTTATCTATTTATGGTAGAAAGGTAACTTATAATGGATCCCAGGTTTTTATATGACCTATTAGGAATTGAATTATGTTGTTTTAATATATTATCTTCCAGCAGTTATGCCTAGTTAAAAAAATTTTACTGATATATATTTTCTATTACTCAAAAAAATCAAATTTCTCAATAATCCTTTTGTCTTGTAATGGCGGGAGGGTCTTGAAAGTGATAGAAATTCTTGTTAATTGCAATATTCTTTAACAACTTTTAGAAAAATACATTCTCAACTATAATCAAAGGTTTAAAGCTTAGTATGGACTAAAGACCATTTGATCTTATTACTTGACTGGGATAAAAGGAATGCCTTAGTCTTAAACTTTGCCTAACTAGAATAATAGAAAAGAAAAATCTCAGCTTGAACAAATAGTAACTTTTTTATCACCTAAAGACTTGTTGCTTATATCTTATTGGTCTTATGAAACTTGATCTGTAGGTTAACCCTATTGAAGAAATGATGTGAATATGAATATCAATTAATTTTTTTAATTACCAATAACATTATTGAAATATATGAGATAATCAGTAGGAACTTATTTACATTCAGTTATTAATATGTTTCATATTAACCAATCAGATGTTAGGTGATATTGTATTACCAGAAATTTGGGATCAAACTGAGATAAACAAAATCCTCAAGAAAACTATAAAAAACAGTAGACACTTTAAGAGAATATAAGATAGTATGTAAAAAAGTAAATAATAAATCTTTCTATATTAATAAAATCTCTATTTTTTGTCACTTTCAGCTCTATAAGATTATATTTCACTTGACAGTTCTTTTACTTCCTAGAATTTTTTTGCTCTTAATAGAGAAAGTACATACTTGAGTCTTTTCAGACCACTAGAGGCTCAAGTTTTTATTCAAAAGAGTTTATAAATAAGTAAAGAAGAGTAGGAGAAATAAGTAAAAATTAGCTTCAAGTTATTTCAATGAAAGTATAAAGACTTTATTAACAAAAAAGTATAAAACTTATTGTGAACATTTTTTTTGTATGTAATTAGAGAATTAATAAAAGGAGTTTAATATTATTCATGAAAATATTACTTAATGATAAACTAATAAATAATAACTTTAAATTAATAAATAATTTGATTTTTGTTAATAACTGTAATATTTAATATAATAAAATAAAATAGCAATTATACAGTATATTGTAATTTAATAAATAATTTAGAAAAATTAATAAATATATATATAATTAAATATTTAATAAATAATTTGTTTAATATTATATAATAATAAAAAATTATTTTTAAATATCTTACTAAAACTTTTTCTATCAATCCTTTGATCATATATAAAAAAATATTTACAAGCAGTTTTATATTTTTTTGCTAATAAAGTCTTAATACTATCCTTAAAATAACTTGAAATATAACTTTAAGGATTTTTTTTATTTTTTTTTTATTATTTACTAACTTGCAATAATAAAAAAATATCAAGTAATATCTTTGATATCAATGGCAAAAAAGTTTTAAAGAAAGAAAAACTGATTATAAAATACTTAAAGATTTTTTTAATCTTTGTATTAAAATATTTAAAGAAATTTTATATAATAAAAAATTTATTTTTTCTCTTTTTAATTGTTTTAATCCTTTTTAGAATTTTTACTTTTACAGTTTTCTAAAAAATTTTGTTTAGTCCTGAATTTTTGACAATATAAATTCTTATTAAGATGATTAAGCTTTATGAAATTGATATTGTTTTCTCTTTTCTAATTATAAATTAGTTTTAATTAACATTTTCTTTTTTTATAAAAAAAAGAAATTAAAAATAGTAATATTTATTTTTATTTTTAATTATTCAATAGTCTAAAGTATAATATATTGTTTTATATTAATATTGAAAAAATATAGTTCTTTTCTTATAAATATTGTTTTTTTTTCTTGAATAAATTACTTAAAAAAGTTTTTTTTAAAGCAGAAATATAAAACTTTATTTTAATATAAATATTAAAAAATAAATATAACTCTTTAATTATGAAAATATATAAATAAAACCAAATTTAAATAATAAAAAACTCTTTTAGTTTATTTTTATTTTTTTAAAAAATTTTCTTTTTTGACAATTTTTTAAGAAAAAGATATATTGATAAAAAAAAAACAAAAGAAAAATCACTTTTATAATTAATAGTTTACAAGAATTAAATATAAAAATATATAATTAAAATATAGAAAGAGATAAATATTCATAAAATTTTATTAATTTTTATTATATAAATTTTTATTTCAAAAAGAAAAATATAAAAAAAAAACCAACTTATAGTAAACTCTTAAAAATCTAATATTAATTTCACAAATTTTTTAATCAAGTCAATATATTTATAAGCAATAATCTAAATTAATAAATTAGTTTAAGTCTAAATACTTATAAAACTTAAAAAAATATTTAAGTTTCATTGATTATATAATAAAGAAACATATACTATATATATATATATATACTGTATATTTTAAAACAATTCTCTATCAGACTAGTTATATATACTTTTTTTTTTAATGCTAGTTTTAGTCAAGTTTATTAGTGAAGTTTTACTATATAGGTACAACTGATCAGGAGAAAACAATAATAAGCTAATAAACTAATAATAGCTTAAAAAACCATCTCATGGTCGAGTCATCTCCAAACGAAGATCCAATGAAGTGATTATTAGGGCAATAAAAAATTTTTAAAGGGGGTTGGTGTGTGTATTGAATCTAGTTTGTCTATCTTAATTCCAAAAAGAAAGGAGGATATGTATTTATATATTAATCTTTTTGAATAATTATCTACTACTAGAAGAAATAATTGGAATAATAGCTATATAAGAATCAATAGGGGAGAGGGTTCTGCTCATATCTTGAAAGGACTTGACAAAAGAGGAAAAATTATAATCCATTATAGAATCAATACTTAAAACTATACTATTACTACTATTTCTTTACTATCAGCTGGATACTCTTCAAGGACTTCATCAGTCAAGAGCACAATGTCTGTTCCTCGGTTGCTTTCAGAACTTCTATATTATAGTTCTAATATTTTCCAGTTTCGATCCTATGTCTTGTCTTACCCTACTTATATTGGGTTTTCTTTTTGATATTTCTTCAAATAATCAGACAAGTCAAAGGGAATTTTCGAGAAGATCTAGAACTGGGGTTGAAGAGGAAAAAGGAATATAAGGTATGGGCCTTTATCATTTAGTGAATCTGTCCTTACTTATCCATTATGATAATCTCTTTAAAAAAGAAATCTTGGTCTTTCTGACATGTGCCTTCACTTGTCTTGATAAATGTTGCTATTGAAGTACTACCATCACGAAGAAATTGATCCACTATACCATCTTATATTGGCAACTCCTACTGGTGATTTCATTTTTGATTGGTATTAATGATTCCAAGAGATCTTCTAATTTTTCAATGTTTCAGGCTTATATAAGTAGGTGGTATACTTTCAAGGCTTTGCCTTCATTCTATATCTTCTTGAGCATCTTATTTTTCTTATTTTCCTAAGTGGCAATAGATAGTTTTCTTGAAGATTACCATCTTTCTTTATATCCAATAACATATTAAAAAACAATATTTGATGAGATACATAAATATAACTAGTGAGAGCTTGTTTATATTCTTTTACTGATATATTTTTCTATTAGTCAATTACTGCTTGAGAAACTTTGTGCTACTCAAAATT